AAGACAACGTTTTAAAGTTTTAAGGGTAAGATCAACTTGTGACTAAAGGCATGGAGCCAGGATAGAACTCTAGGTCTCCTGACACAAAGAGACATGATAGATAATCTCTTGAGGTTAACAGGAAGGAGATCTCCAAATGATTAATGCTCACTAATGGTTACAGAAATTTTTGTGTTTTGTTTATAGGGAAACCAGTCCTGGATTTTTGCTTATTAATTTCCTTTTGAGTTATTTAAGGGGTAAGTATCCTTTGGATGGTGTTGATGACTATTCAGTCTGTGATTATTGCATGTATTACCCAATCATTTTTTGTGTAACTGAAGTTTCATGTTTGCTGAATTAGAGTTTATTGAGAAAGAGGATCTTAAGGAACGGTTTCACCATCACTTCTACTCAGATTTATTTATTTATTTTAAAGATTTATTTTATTTATTTGAAAGAGTTACAGAGAGGTAGAGCCAGAGCCAGAGAGAGAGAGAGAGAGAGGTCTTCCATCCGCTGGTTTATTCCCCAAATGAGCCGATCCAAAGCCAAGAGCCAGGAGCCTCCTCTAGGTCTCCCATATGGGTGCAGGAACCCAAGGACTGGGACCATATTCTGCTGCTTTCCCAGGCCATAGAAGCGAGTGGGATCAGAAGTGGAGCAACCGGGACTTGAATTAGCGTCCATATGGGATGCTGGCACTGCAGGCTCGGGCTTTAACCTACTGTACCACAGTGCCAGCCTCTCATATTTATTTTTAAAAAGTTTATGAGGTTATTGCCATACTATTGAAAAATCCAAGTGAAGATTTTTATATTTCAGATGCAGTTCTCTGATACAGTTCTAATTTTCAGCAAACCCACCCTGATTCCAAAGCTCTAATCAAATAAGTAAAATTGTATAATAAGATTATATTTTCTTTTTGTAATTATTTTTTCATGTACTTGTAAGGCAGAGTTACAGAGAGTGGAGAGAGAGAGAGAGAAAGAGAGAGAGAGAGAGAGAAAGAAAGAAAGAGAGAAAGAGAATCTTCCATCCACTGGTTTACTCCCCAAATGGCCACAACAGCCAGAGCTGGGCTAGACTGAAGCCAGGAGACAGGAGCTTCTTCCAGGTCTCTCACATGGCCCAAGCACTTGGGCCTTCTTTTGCTGCTTTTCCCAAGCTATTAATAGGGAGCTGGATCAGAGGTGGAGCAGCTGGGACTCTAACAGGTGCCAGTATGAGATGCTGGTATTGCAGGTGGAGGCTTAACCTGCTATAGTACATTGCAGGTCCCAATATATTTTCTATTGTGTTAAGTAATTAACAATAATCTTATTTTTCCTACATTTCTGACTTTCCCAAGATAAACATGTTTAGGGCATTGACTTCCTTCAGATAAGAAATGTGATCCTAAGTGGTATGCAGTTTTCCATTATTTAATTTGAGTTCTTATTTAGAACGGATCTAGCTCAGACTCTTACTAGGTGTTGCAGTCTATATCTGAATGCACATGAAATGTGCAACATGCTTCTGTGCTTTTATGAAAATTTTGTTAGAGCCTAAATTTCATACTAATCATTCTTACATCTACATTTTTTTCCATATGAATGAAAAATACTATACACAGTATAGTGAAAAGGAAATCTTTTGTCTAGCCATAGCTTCTGAATGGTTTCCCTACCTAGAAATGACCACCAGTCCCAGTTCCTAATGTAGCCTTTTCAAAGATATTCAGTGTATTTCTCCCATATAAGAAAGCAAAACTTGAATACACGTTATTTCATTTGATCCTCATAAAAATCTTGTAAGTTAGGTAAAAGAGGTTTTCTCCTAAGAACAGACACAAAAATAAAGGCACAGAGAAGTTCATCATTGTAACTCTATTCTACAACTAATATGTTGATGATGCCATCAGTTAAGTCTTTATTGAGTGTCTGTTGTCACATTGAGTCAGGGGCTAGGTCCAGTACTCAAGTTCAGAAGAGTTATACTTCAGTCTTGTTTCTATTGCCTGGGAGTGGTTCTTGAATGCCTCAGTTTAAAAAACTGAACAAAATTCTAGCAGGTTTTTAATCCAATTTGCTGTTTCATAGGGAAATCTTAATGCATAGAGTCTCATATACCCTGCAACATTCTGCAACAGCCAGGGACAATGAGAAGAAAAAAGTCAAGGCAATCTTCTAACATTTGGCGTTTGTATATTAGGTTTACATATTTTCACTTTAGTGATTTCTTAGGATACTTATACTAGTAAAGGAAATATTGCTGTTGGTTTAATGTTTTACCCTGCTAACGCACCCCACCCTTACATGATCTTAGTGACTAATAGGATTCTCTTACCATATGTAAATTCCACTTACCAGCTTTTTTATGTGTGTTTTCTGGTAATTTGCAATCGTAGACAAAAATCAGACTAAAGAATTTCGTAAAATAAATGAGAATCAGCAACTATGTGGTTGCAGTTTAATTTTTAAATTGGCCTGGCACAACGGCCTCACCTAAGAGTCATGTGGTGGTTATGCTCCCTGCTGGTAGAGGGCCCTCCCTTGTGGCCCACAGTGACTCAGACGGCAGCTGCAAGAACAGGAAGCTGGGGTTCATGTGACAAGACTCCAGCCTTTACCAGAGCAAACAGACCAGGTAAGATGTCTCCCCCGAGACCCTCCCAGTTTCATATTTCCCAGTTTTATGTTGCATCTCAGGGATTTTTTTTTTTCCTCCCTCAGACTGCTCTGTGTTTTCTCTTTGACCTAATGCCATGTGTGGCGAAATGCTGTCCAGAAGAGCCTGCTGAGAATTTTGTCTGGGCCTGCCTCCTTGAATAAGCCAACAATCTGCACACCAAGAATGGAAAAAATGTTTCCATGCTTCAGAGATTCCTGAACACTCTCTTTCCAAAATGAATCAGTTCCTTCTAGTGGGGAAAATGAAGACATCAGCATTCAGCATTCAGCAGTCCATTTCTAGATTTCACAAGAGACCACACATCTTCACAGATTCTTGGAGGTTTTCTTCACCAGATTTAGATCATTGTTTCCCAAAGTGTTATCTGAGGGCCAACTGCATTGGAATCATCTAGATGAAGGTATCATTATCTTTATGGAAAGACCGGGTAATCTATGTTTTTAACAAGTGCTAGAACTCATTTTTGTTCACAGAAAGCAAAGCAGCATTCACAGGCCGCAGTGGGTAACAAGCAGAGTTGGAGTGTTATTTGTGCTTCCCTGTCCCCGCCCCTGAATTCCCTCTCCCAGTCAAAATGTCATTTTGATAATGTTGTTTGGTCACTGTAGAAGGAAATAGGGGAAAGAGTAGGAAGGAGCCAAGGAACCAATGATGTTCTCTCTATTACATTGGTGTGGTAAACAGGATGAATTTTAGAAAGCAATGGAACAGAGTGCTTAAAAATCACTCACAAAGGTTTTGAGAAACAAATCCCCTTCTCCCCATTCTAATTAAATAGATATGGTGCTGGGCCTGGGAACCTACATTTGTAAAAAACGCTGTAGAAGTGTGACCCACTGAAAATTGTGGGTCTGCTTCCAGAAGTAGGTGTTCATACAAAATTATTTATTTGTAGCTATTAAGGAGAGTAGGCAAATTCATTTCCATGACTAGGGGAAAATCCTGCTTTTAGGGGAACATTTTAGGGACATGAATATGCAGGAAGGAAGTTCTTGTCTTTGCGTGGAGGGGTGGTTACAAATTCACACAGGCATGGTTCAGAATTCTAGTCCAGAAGCCAGTATTGCGGTGTAGCGGATTTAGTTCATGTCCCGGCTGCTCTACTTCCAGTCCAGCTCCCTGTTAACGCTCCTGGGAAAGCAGTTTAAGATGGTCCAAGTACTTGAACCTCTGCATCCATGTGGGAGAACTGATGAAGCTCTTGGCTCCTGCTTTCGCCTAGCCCAGTCCTGGTTGTTGTGGCCATTTGGAGAGTGAACCAGCTGGGGGAAGATTCTCTCCTTCTCTCTCTGTCATACTGACTTTCAAAAAAAAAAAAAAAAAAAGCTCCAACATAGGTTGAATGTTATGGTAATAAGACTCAAGCTCCTGCTAGGGTAGTATTAAAATGAAGTAAAGAGTGACCTTTGGATACCTTGTGACCCATCTGTGCTGGCCTTGCTCTTGCAGTGGAGTCTGGACCAGTCCAGAGTGGCTGGTGATTGAATCTCTCTTTGGAATGTGACTGAAAACCTGAAAGACAACTTTGGAGAAAATCAGATGCTTTTAGGGTCTTGAAATAGATAAAAGTCACAAATAAAGACCTTTGAGCTGCTCAGGGCATTACACAGTAGAGTATCACTTATTTAATGTACTGTGTACTCGGGTCTAGAGCTGTAAGCTGTAAGTCCCCCTTCTTTCTTTTTTTAAAAACAGGGTTTATTTTTTTATTTTGAAAGTCAGTTACAGAGAGAGAGAGAGGGAGAAAGAGAGATCTTCCATCTGCTGGTCAACTCCTCAAATAACCACAATGGCTGGAGCTGGGCTGGTCTGAAGCAAGGAGCCAGGAGACTCTTATAGTCTCCCACATGGATGCAGGGGCCCGAGCACTTGGGCCATCCTCTGCAGCTTTTCCCAGAAACATTATCAGGTAGCTGGATTGGAAGTGGACCAGATGGGACTTGATCCAGCACCCATAAGAGATGTATTGCAGGCTCTACTGGCTATGGTACAATGCCAGCCCCTGTAAGTCCCTTTTTGGCAGCTATTTTTTAAGCAGCTTCAAACAAAGAAAAACCAAGTTCAATAACTCAACATTCTTGACAATAAGAAGACATATGAGGGTTTTCTAATGAGCCAGCATTTTGTTTTAGTACCTTCTGTGCTTCTCTTTAAACAGGATATATTTTTATTCGAGCAATTATATATATAAATATTAAAGATTTATTTGTATTTATTTGAAAGAATTAGAGAGAGAGGTCTTCCATCTGCTGCTTCACTCCCCAAATGGCTGCAATGGCCGGAGTTGAGCTGATCCAAAGTCAAGAGCTAGGAGCTCCTTTCCAGTCTCCCACGTGGGTGCAGGAGCCCAAGGACTTGGGCCATCTTCTATTGCTTTCCCAGGCCATAGTAGAGAGCTGGATTGGAAGTGGAACAGCTGGGACTAGAACTGGCACTCATTTGGGATGTCAGCACTTCAGGCCAGGGCTTTAATCTGCTGCACCACAGCGCTGGCCCTTCAAGAGTAATTATTAAAAAAAAAAGAGTAATTATATTGGCCAACATCTCCACAAACAAGCAAGCCATCTAACAGGAATAATACTTACATGATTCCATCATTAGTTAGATAATATTAATGAATTATATAATTAATAACATGAATGTTATTAATAGAATATGAGTCATATTAGTGAATCTATTATATTAATGATATTATTAATTATTTATTAGTGAATAAGAACTTCTTTGCATTTTCGCACTAAAAAACATTGTGGAAAGGAAGTTTTTTTCACTTTTTTCTCTATGACTTATTTATTTAATTTGAAAGGGAAAGCAACAGAAAGAGGGAGAGACATAGAAAGATTTTCTTTTATTTATTTATTTTATTTTTTGACAGGCAGAGTGGACAGTGAGAGAGAGAGACAGAGAGAAAGGTCTTCCTTTGCTGTTGGTTCACTCCCCAATGGCTGCCGCGGCCGGCGTGCTGCGGCCGGCGCACCGTGCTGATCCGATGGCAGGAGCCAGGTACTTATCCTGGTCTCCCATGCGGGTGCAGGGCCCAAGTACTTGGGCCTTCTTCCACTGCACTCCCTGTCCACAGCAGAGAGCTGGCCTGGAAGAGGGGCAACTGGGACAGAATCTGGTGCCCCGAACCTGGTGTGCCGGCGCCGCAAGGCGGAGGATTAGCCTACTGAGCCACAGCACTAGCCAGAAAGATTTTCTATCTGCTGTCTACTCCCTGAATTCTCATAAGAACTGGGGCTGGGCCAGCCTGAAGCCAGGAAACCGGGATTGAGTTAGGATATAATCATGGTGGCTTTTCAGGTGATGCACATTCTTTACAACAGTTTTTCCTAAGTGTTGCTTTTGGTATGTCCTTCTGTCACTCTTATGCTCAAAAATTTCAATGTAACTTCACTATAGAATTCCCTTGTCTAGGCCTTGGACCCCATGGGCTCAATCCATTTTCCCACCTTTACTTATACAACTGTATTTCACCTGTCTATTTTAGCTCAGTGATCTCTTACCTTTCCTCAAATGTGCCATAAAGTTTCTATTTACTAAAGTTCCCTCTCTGTATTGTCTAGATTTAAGGCTCAATTCAATATATCTTTTTGGTGAAATCTTTAAAAACATTTTAAAAAATATTTATTTTGGGGATCAGTGCTGTGGCATAGCCAGTAAAGCTGCTGCCTTAGATGCTGACATCCCATTTGGACACTGGTTCAAGTCCCTGTTGCCAAACGTCAGATTCAACTCCCTGCTAATGATCCTGGGAAAGCAGTGGAAGATGGCCTGAGTACTTGGGCCCTTGCACTCATGTGAGAGACCCAGAAGAAGCTCCTGGCTCATGGCTTCAGATTGGCCCAGCTCCGACCATTGCAGCCTTTTTGGTAGTGAACCAATGGATGGAAGATTCTCTCTCTCTCTCGCTCTCCCTCCCCCCTCCCTCTCTCCCCCTTTAACTCTGCCTTTCAAATAAATAAATAAATATATTTTTTAAGGATTTATTTATTTATTTGAAAGGCAGATTTACAGAGAGGCAGAGGCAGAGAGAGAGAAAGGTCTTCCACCCGCTGTTTCACTCCCTAGGTGGCTAAAATAGCTGGAGCTGTGTTGATTTGAAGCCAGGAGCCAGGAGCTTCCTCTGGGTCTCCCACATGCGTGTAGGGGCTCAAGCACTTGGGCCATCTTGTACTGCTTTCCCAGGCCATAGCAGAGAGCTGGATCGGAAGTGGAGCAGCCGGGACTCGAACTGGTGCTCATATGGGATGCTGACACAGCAGACTGGGCTATAATCTGCTGCACCACAGAGCCAGCCCCATAAATAAATAAATCTTACAATTAATTTTGATAGAGTCACAGAGAAAAAGGGAGAGATCTTCCATCTTTTGGTTCACTCCCCAGATAACCACAATGGCCTGTACTGGGCCAGGCCAAAGACTGGAGTCAGAAGCTTCATCCGGGTCTCTCACATATGTGGAAAGGGCCCAGACACTTGGGCTATCTTCTACTGCTTTTCCCAGGTCATTAGCAGGGAGCTGGATTGGAACTGGAGCAGCCAGGACTTGAACCAGTGACCATATGGGATGCTGGTGTTGCGGGCAGTGGCTTAATTCACTTTGCTACAAAGGTGGCCTCAGTTGGTAGAGGTTTACATTGATACTTTTTGGGGAGAACACTTTGAAGAATTACTCCACAATAAGCCCTTTTGTATATTCACAAAAATGTATGATCTATGCAGGCATGGTGGTACAGCAGGTTAAGCCACCACTTGTGATGCCTACATCTCCTATCTGAGTGCCAGCACTACTGCTCCTGATCCAGCCTCCTGCTAATGCATCCTAGAAGGCAGCAAGTGTCAATTCAAGTACTTTGAGTTTCTGCCACCAAGGGAGAGGTAAATGAAGTTCTGGGCTTCTGATTTTGGCCTGGTCCATCCCTGGTAATTGCAGGCATTTGGGAAGTGAACCAGCAGATAAAAGATCTCTCTTTGTTTCTGTCTCCTCTCTCTCTGTTTCTCTTTCTCTCTCTCCTTGCCTTTCAAAGTAGATGAAAATAAATAAACAAAACAAAGTATGATAAGGATGTTTGCTTAGTCTTTGACTAGAAAAACATTGGAAACAACCTATCAAATGGAGTAATGGTTAAATTGTGATGCATCCTGTGGCATAACATGCAATTATTAAAAACAAAGAGATGCTAAATGAGTTGATGATAAATGAGTTGGTGCCTGCAACACCAGCATCCCATATGGGCACCGGTTCAAGTCCCGGCTGCTCCAGTTCCAATCCAGCTCCCTGCTAATGGCCTGGCAGTGCATAAACTTCCTATATGTTGGTAGCCATCAGAGGTAAGCCAGGATGGATGCATACAAGTACATTCAAGAGCTGTGAAGGAAGGAGCAGTCAGAAGTGATGTACTTTCTCCCAGGGATCCACTGTTGACTGTACCACCAGCTTTCTCTGCCCCACCGGAACTCCACTCCACCCAGCCTGACAAAGTCCACACACTAGGATACCAGCCTAGACAAGGTTACATCACATGTAGGATTCATATGCACCATGGTGGCTACAAGGGCCCAGTTTCTAAGGGTCCAACATGTAGCCTGTCCATCTTGATGTTAACCAGCTAAAGTTTACTCAAAGCCTTCAGTCTGTAGCTGAGGAACCAGCTGGACACCACTGTGGGACTCTAAGAGTCCTGAATTCTTGCTGAGTTGGTGAAGATTTCACATAGAAATTATTTGAGGTTATCTGCATTGATCCATTCTATAAAAGTATCAGAAGAAATCATGGGGCCAGTGTTGTGACATAGTGGGTTAAGCTGCTGCCTGTGATGTCAGCATCCCACATGAGCATGAGCTCCTGTCCTGGCTGCTCGTCCTCTAACCCAGCTCCCTGCTTATGTGCCTGGGAAAGCAGCAGAAGAAGGCCATGTGGGAGACCCAGAAGAAGCTCCTGGCTCCTGGTTTTGGCCTGGCCCAGCCCCGGCTGTTGCAACCATCTGGGAAGTGAATGAGTAGATGGAAATCTTTCCCTCTTTCTTTCTGTAATTCAGCCTTTCGAGTAAATAAATAAATTTTTAAAAGAAATGAAAAGAAATCCTGACACCCAGTGGATCACCAAACCAGTTCACAAACACAGGGAAATGCTTTGGCTGACATCTGCAGGTCACAGGAGTCCTGGCCCTGGAAAGGATACAAGGTCCACCACACAGTTGGATTTTCTTGTTGTGCAGCCTGGAGAAGGCGCAATGCCTTCCAGCTGCACCATTACCACTAATACAAGCAATGTTTGTAAAATTCATACCTAATAAAGCATTTAAGGCAACATATCTGCTTAAAGGGGTTATTTGTCCACTAAAACTAGTCTGCAGATAATTTAACGAATGCTTTGCCAAATTATGAAAGTTAAGGTGCAATAATGTTTGAAGACTAAATGATGGTGTATCTTGTATCTTGTTTCTAATAAGATGAGCTTCAGATTTACTATATCTTATTAAGAATTTATATGTCAGTGTTGTTTAAACATTCTGGGTTGCTTTAATAGGTGTAAAATAAATTCATTTTTTTAAAAAGAAAGATTAATTTATTTTTATTTGAAAGGCAGAGTTACAGAGAGAGATCTTTAATCCACTGGTTCACTCTCCAAATGACAACAATAGCCAGGTTTGGGTCAGGCTGAAGCCAGGAGCCGGGAGCCAGGATTTTCATCCTGGTTTCCCATGTGGATGCAGGGACCCAAGCACTTAGGCCATCTTCCACTGCTTTCCCCAGGCACATTAGCAGGGAGCTAGATGGGAAGTCAAACAGCCAAGATATGAACCAGCACCCTTATGTGATGTTGGCATCGTAGGCTGTGGCTTAACCTGCTGTGTAAGAGTGCCAGCCCTAAAATAAATTCTTTAAAAGGCAAGGCAGGGGGAACAGTGTGAGAACTCAAGAGCATTGGTAACAGTTTTGAAAGTGTAGTCTCCAAGAATTTTCAGAATTGTCTCTAAATTAAAAAATATTGTCTAAAAAATTTAACGTATATATTTAACTAATTTACTCCTTTGTTCACAGGAAAAAAATAAATCTAACATTTCCATAAAATGGGAAGTATACTTTATAAAATCGTGCAAGTGGCTTTTTCCTGGGCATACTGAAAATATAGTGGGACTAGTACTGTGGTATAGTGGTTTAAGCTGCTGCCTGCAATGCCAGCATCCCGTAGGGGCACTGGTTTGAGTCCCAGCTGCTCCACTTTCCATCCAGCTCCCTGCTAATGTGTCTCATAAAGCAGCAGCTGAAGATGACCCAAGTCCTTAGGCCTCTGTACCTATGTGGGATATTCCTGGTCCTGGCTTCAGTCTGGCCTACCCCTAGCTGTTGTGGTCATTTGGAGAGTTAACCAGTGGATGGAAGATTTCTTGCTCTGTCTTTTCCTCTGTGTAACCATACCTTTCAAATAAACAAATCTCTTAAAAATATATGTTAATATATGGTACAGATGATTTTCCGATTTAGCCATTA